AAATCAATCTTGATTGCCATAAAACCTTTTTTCCCCTTCATTGTGCGCATGGAGTGTATGACTTCTTGTGCCACAATAATATTCTCACTACTATGTCTTCGAGGGACGAAGCTACACTGATTGGGAGATATGATCCGAGGGAGAATAGGTTTAATCCTATTAGAAAGAATCTTGGTTATTATCTTGTAAACTACGTTGCACAACCCAATTGGTCTGAGGTCTTTTAGTGTTTCTGGGGGTTCTTTCTTTGGTATAAGAGCAATCAGCGTGCCATTAATATCTCTGACCTTCTGGGGGTTCACAAAGATCTGTCGCACACAAGTGTGGATAGCGTTCCATACCGTCTCCCAATGGTTCTGGTAGAATAATGCATTAAAGCCATCTGGCCCTGGAGACTTCAAGGGACCCATATTGAACAAAGCAGTCTTGATTTCTTCCAAAGTCACGTCCTTCCCGCATGCATGCAGTTCATGATCCTCAATCTTCGGAAAAGAGATGGCACATTCTATCAAAGGCCTCTCATGAACTTATCCTGAAAAAATAGTTATGTTTAGTTTCTTATATTTATTGCGCGAAGTTTTTCAAGCCATATATCCTATTTTTATTATCATTTATTTATACACTTTAATTAAGGATTATTATCATTAAAATATTTATGCTTCAAAATTATTTATATTTCAAAAGTTATAGTATATTATTTTACGCTTGCTATGTCATCTATATTTCCTCCCACATTTTTAAAAAATTAAACTAAAATTTAAACTATTTAAATGTATATCAAATTTTAACTTAATTATTGCAGCACCAGCACCTCCACCTGCACCTGGAAGACACATATTTTTCATTATTTAAGATCACATATGATAGATAGATTTTTGCTCAAAAATATTCAAGTTGATTATCCATATGATAAAACTGAAATCAAAGATTAAATTAATTTTTAAATAATATGTATTAATTTTTTAATACCGAGGACATGAATCCTCAGGAAGTCAACCTTCCAAACATATTTGACTTTCAGTCAATTAAACTTCTGAAGAGTCCAACGCAGAGTGACATCAGATTGTGTATTCATCTTCTCTAATGCAAGATAAGCTATTGATATACTCCATGCAAAAAAAGCATAGACAAACAATCTTGGTGGGCTGAGTTGTACCCATACACTAGCATTTAAATAATGCTCCTGTTATATATCCATCTATAAATAAATAGTTTTTTAATAGTGATTTATACAATACAAAATAATTATATAATAATAATTTTGTCTCGATTTATATAAAACGTGTTTATAAGTACTTCTAAGTGATATCAAACAAGCATTTATAAACGTGTCAAATAAAATAAAAGAAACGTCAAGTGTTCAAAACTTGAGTTCATCGTCCTAGATAACATAGCTAAATTATTTAAACAAAGCAAAGCTGCAGCACGATAATGAACATTTCAAATCAAGTTTCTTGGATGTTGTGGATGCTTGACAACTGGTACAAGACTTTCCACGTAATCAAGGAAATTACCATAATCATGTCTAGGGACAACCAAGATCTTAAATTCATTAGTGGTGACATTAAACAGCCACAGACCATTTTTTTGGGTTTTTATTCAGTATTTTACATTGAGTTTCAACTGCAGACATGATAATTTCATTCCGGCCGCCACTGAATTTCGGAGTTCAACTCCATCTCTTTTCACATGAACCAATATCTTCCGCCATCACCCACAAATCAAAGTTTCGAAAGGCTCCAGTATGAATATCAAGTACAGCAAGTTTGTCCTTGTACACGGTTAAGTTAAGATATGAATATGAATTCCCATAACCTGTAGGGCATGGCATGAAACTAAGTACTTCCTTTGCCATGTCAAATGAGACTGTGAATTCTTCCTCCCTCCAACCCTCTCGTTGCCCCGTTTTAATCCATTCCAAAACATAGCACCATCAGAGGAGACCATAGTTTCACCAAAAATAGTTACATTCTCTAATATGTTCCCAAATTCCATTTCTTTCCATGAATCTCTCCTTAAAGAATAGACTTGCGCTCTACAACTTTTAGCATCAATTGTCACTATATTGTAATCGTCAACAAATGAACTGAACCCAAATCCTAACACGCGTTTATCCACTCTAGATCTAGGCACCTCTCTAACATCTCTAGTCGCAGGATTCCACAGTAAAAGAAAACTAGGCACGGGAAAGCTAGACTCACGGTTTGCAGCACAGAGCAAGTCATTGCCGGAACCAATGAGGCTAACGAAGCGGGCCCGCATGGAACTGAGGCTAACGAAGCGGGCCCGCATGGAACTGAACGGAGGTAGCTTCTGAACATGACGGACTTGCATCTCGCAATCGAGCGAATGTATCTGCAAAGGATCAAGTCGGAAATTATAGAAGAACAGAAGGGTTGTGATGAGTGGAGTGACGGAGGTGATCGGCGATGAAAGATGGGGTCTTGATGAGATTTTTCCAATGTTTGCAGACACATTGAAATCCAATTAGGGATTTCACCGGAAGCTGCTTGAGAATGTTGGTGGTGATTTCTTCGGGAAGGAATGGTGCAGCATTCATGGTTGGCAACTCAGAAGAATTAAAGCTGTAGCGACTGAATCAGAGTATTTTACAAGTTTAAGTGGAGGCTGGCATGAAGAGATCGTCGCGCCCCGAGTTTTTATTTCCTTTTTTTTTTTTTACCATGAATGATTTTCCATTATATGATATATATATATATATATATAGAATAATTTTTTAGAAAAATTACAACCAAATCCCATAAAAAGAAAAAAAATTACAAAATAACTCTTAGAGGTTATCATGCTATTCAGATTGCTATTGGAACTTTTTAATAATTATTTCTCTTCTATGAAATTTGATTGTAATTCTCTCTAATTTTTTACCCATTGCATCATAGACCAAAAATGTTTTATTAATACATTACTTAATGGAATCTGTCCATCACATATAATTTACTTTATTTTTCTATATATTTCGCTTGATCTAACATCATACCACATTCAATTTTTAATATCAAATCTAATTTATAATTCAAATTAAACTATAAACTAAATCTTATATTAAGGCTATAAACCAAATTTTATATTAAAAATTAGAGGTTGTAAACTTGTAAAACATAAAATTAAGAGTTAAGGATTAAAGTGTAATTCTACCCTTAATACAATATGCTATTGGAAAATATTTTAACCATAAGTTCCACTTTAACCTCAACATTGCTGAAGCTTTAGAGGTGGATTTGGCTTCTCTCCATTTTTTCTTTCCTCCTTCCCATATTAAACATCAGATTAAAATTCAAATGATCTATATTTCATGTTTTATAAAATGGTTAAGTCACAAATTTGCTTTTAAAGTTTTCACTTAAGAGCACTAAGTGTTCAAAAGATTTTTTTTTTGGGTGTGAAAATTTACTTCGAAAGTTCAAAATCATAGGAATTTTGCCCCTTTATTATTACAAATTTTAACAGTCAATATTATTATTTTAATAATCAACGTTGGTTTTTTTTAATAACATAGGGTAAAATTGTTATTATTTTAAACTTTCAAGATAAATTTATACTTAAAAAAACTTCTGAGTACGTAATACTCTTGAGTGAAATCTTCTATAACAAATTTACACCTTAACCCTATATAAAATAATTTTATAAAATATTTTTTATCGCTTCTTTAAATTATCATGACTAATATTTAGTAGTTCAGTTTTAGTTATTCATTTTTAATAATTTAAATTATTATTAATAATTTTATTGAAACATAAAATCTGAATCATCCAAATTTCAAGCTAATGATTGAGATGGAAAGTGGAGAAGAGGGACAAACTCACAAATCAACAAATAAACCCATTGACACAAATTTCGTTCGCAGGAATAGCAGCATCTCTCTATTGTGTTCCCCTGGAAATTTGAGTGGTTTACTATGTTACTCAATCTATGCTTAGCCAATAAACATAAAAATCTGTTATGGGAGATTCTGAACGTTTTTACGCATAACTCTTCAATCAATAAAACTTGAAAAATGAAGGGAAATTACTATAAGATCTGAAGAAAAGAATATATTCACGAAAAAATACCATAACAATTGAGTAACAATGATAAGTTACATTGTGAAAAATGATAAAAAAAAACATTTCAACTGTTCACTTATTATTGAGATTATTTTAATAATTATTTTTTTTGTTTGGACCTCGTCATAATTCTCCCAAAAATGAATCATATCATTCACTGTATATCCATAATCCATAATAATATAATTTGTCATAAGTTTCATATTTCTTATTCATGTTTATATTAATGGACGATTTCAATTAATTTCTGCTTTGCTTATTTACCAACATTCAATTTCGCTAACCTTGATTATTTGGATGTATCCTGTGAAGTCAATCAAAATGTATAAAAAATATCGAAGGAAAAACAATTAATTTTTTGAAGAGTAAAATGTAAAGTTGTACCCATACACTATCACTTAAATAATTCTTACATATCCACCTAAAAAAAGAAAAACAGAGTGACTGAACTGAACAAGCTGATTCATTTCCAGGCAAGAAACATACCATATGTTTGATATAAAACATTGAAAACGAGGGATAGGAATTGGAATTGGAATTAAAAAAATCATTAAAATAGTATTTAGTATGAGTACTTGCTTATTAAATGAGATTAGACAAACCCATAAAAGTGGGATTGAGAAATATCACTTCCCATATGGTATTCTCTAATCCCATATATATGGGTTTGACTAATCCCATATAACAAATAATCTCTTGTACTAAACACTCTTTTAATAAATTTTCTCAATCCGAATCCCAATTCGTATTCCTACTTTTCAATGCTTCCTACCAAACACAATCATAAAGAATTCAACCTGAATTCATCCTCCTCGATAACATCAATAAATGGCATCAGACCTTGCAAATACAAAATGAACTGAAATGCCATTTATTCATTTCTACCAGAAGTATTTAAACAGAGCATACCTGCAGAATAATAATGAACCTGTAAAATCAAGGTTCTTCAATGCTGGGGAAGTTAACAACTGGTAGGAGGCTTTCCACATGATTAAGAAACTGATAAGAGCCATGTTTGGGGACAACGACCATCTTAAATTCATTAGTAGTGAGATTGAGCATACATAAACCACTTTCTGGTTTTTTCTTCCATAGTTTACCGCATGTTTCAGTTCCAGACATGACAATTTCATTCCTCCAAATGGTCCCTCCACCATTTAACGTCCAAGGACAAGGGCCGCCGGTGAATTTCTTAGTCCAACTCCATCTCTCCCTAGATGAACCAATGTCTTCCTCCCTCACCCACAAATTAATGTTTGAAGAGCCCCCAGCTCCACTACTAAGTATAGCAAGTTTGTCCTTGTACACCGTTAAGTTAATAAATGAATTGCTGTGAACTCTAGGCAATGGTATGAGAGAAAAAGCTTCCATTACCATGTCAAATGAAACTATAACTCCCACCTTTCTCTTGTTTCCTGGTTTTTGCCCATTCCAGAAGATAGCTCCATCAAAGGAGACGACAGTGCTAGGGGAAATAAATACATCATCTAACAAGTTCACATATTCTATTTCTTTCCATGAATCTGTTTTTAATGAATATACTTCCACTTCACAATCCATAGCATCAATCACCACTATCTTGTAATCATTAAGCGATGAACTGAAACCAAATCCTAACACACAAGAATCGATAGTTCTAGAATTAGGCACCTCTCTGACATCTCTAGTCGACGGATTCCACAGTAAAAGGGAAGAAGGAGAGATGACAGACTCATTCGCATGGATTGTAACACACAGCAGGCCATTGCTGGAACCAATGATGCTAACGAGCTTGAACGGCAAGGAATCAAACGGAGGTGCCTTCGGAACATCACGGACTTGCATGTCGCAATCGAGCAAACGTAGCTGCAATGAATTAGATCCATAATTCTGGAAGAACAGAAGAGAAGGGTTGTGAGGACGGGAGAGGCGGAGATGATCGGCGATGAAAGATGAGGTCTTGAAGAGATTTTTCCAATGTCTGCAGACACATTGAAATCGCATGAGGGATTTCGCCGGAAGCCGCTTGAGAATGTTGTTCATGATTTCTTCCGGAAGGAATGGCGCGGCGCCATCGGTCACCGTCTGGTTCATGGTTGTCGACAAAGGAGAAGAAGAAAAGCCGTCGTCGCGATCAAACGAGAGCATTTTATAGGGGCGGTTCAATTCAATGCAAGGATTAAATTTTGTAACTTTGAATATTCTAATTATAAAAACTTTTATTTGCAGCCTACAAACAGATTTTTATATTAGCAATGGAAGTCCTCTGTATAATAGATAGATTTTTGCTCAAAAAAAAATAATAATAGAGAGATAATCTGAAAAATATCAAAAGCTTCTGTTCAAGTTGATTAATCCGTATGATAACACTGAAATCAAAGCTTAAATTAATTTTACTGGACGCTCCTAATAGCTAAAGTGATATCAAGATCGATAAATTTTGCTCAATATCAATCAATAAATTTTGTAATATTAAAAGAAATCTCTTAATTTCCTATCTCTGATTTTAATTAATTAACGAGATTTTAAAAATTTAAAATCCTATATTGTCATTTGTCAATGTGTTGAGTCTAGATATAACAAACAAAAGCAGTTCTAGGAAGTAAAAAGCAAACAAAAAGACCCAATTTTTTATTTTTAAAAAAAAAAGTGTAACCCAAACTAAGGGGTATTTGGTATGAAGCAAAAACACTTAAAAAAATGCTTTTATGTAAATCAAAACAAATTTTCTTTCATATATTTACTTTATATATTGTAAGATTAATTTTAAAACAATGATTTGATTTGTACCAAAACAATCCAAAAGTAAACAATAGATTAGTTCTTGTAAACACAAAGAACATAACCCTAACAAAAGATAGACATTGATATAGCTAATAACTTGAAATAACCCATTGTTAATTCAATCCTAAGGTAATTTAGTCTTAAGCATCTTAAGCAAACACTAATCAATAGAGATGGGGTATAAGTTAAACCCTTATAACACAATGAACCAAAGTTCAAATTCAAAAAAAGTGACCATTTTTAGTGTTCAATAGTACTTTAAACATGATTTGCCTCTATAGACTCATTTTAAAAAAAACTAAGAAGATAAGGTTAAAAGCTTTTAATTAATTTTTATTACTCTTTTAATTTATATATTCTTTTTATTAAAAATCTTAAAATCCCACTTTTTTAATTTTTTAAATTGGGTTGGTTAAAATTTTTCCCCTTCTCCCCTCTCTTCTATTTTCCTCGTACCAAAATAAGATGAAAGCCCGTTGAAACCCAACAATTTTCCCATCTCATAAGCATCAAGAGTTACCATTTTCGTTGGTATGGAATTTTCAATTTTCAATTTGAATTATAATTTCTTGTTTACAATACCATCACGGAGCTGATTTATTTTTTAAAAAATTACCATCTTACCTCCCTCGCCTTCCAACTAGGCAACCTCGCAAAGCAACTTCAACGAGTTATACAATTGAGAATTATTTGTTTCCCAACTTATAGATAGAATAATTCGCAGTATTTTATTTGTATTTAGCATGTTATATTAATCAATAATTGATGTGGATTGAACTCCGTCATGTTTAAGCAAGGAGATTTTATGTGTTAAATTTTTTGGGGGTTTACCAAAATCACAATTAAATCTTATTAGTTCAAGATAATACAAAGTATTTCCAACCAAGCAAATGTGAGGCACAGTGAGAAAACATCAATGTGGGCTTGATATAAAACCAAAACACCATTCTATATATGTGCGCTCCAAAAATGCACTTTTCCATATACAAAGAAAAGACAAACCAATATCTAATGACTTTCTCTGTCAAAGAATAGACCTAGTATTTCTTGTGCCAACAGAGTACTCTTAAACAGCTTCTTCCTTGAGGTTCTAGAGAAATACGAACTCAAAATATCAAAATTCAGAGATCACATAACCTCTTGCTCTTGTAACAAAAACACATTTTTTCTTATGTCTTGCAGAAAATTTCATAACAGATATTGCAGAGCATAGAGATTACAATGTGACCACATATCATATAAAAAGTCCCAAATAATCCTACACCAGCAATGAAATAACATTATACATCCATCTTTGAAAAACAAAAAGGATAGCATGAGATTATAAATGGGTAAAATCAAACAGAAAATATCTCCATTTATCATTCTGCATAACATCTCCAGAAGGCATCAAACCCTATATACAATGATCTTAAGTCTAAACTGATAGGAATACATTGCTCTCAAAAATACTTAAACAACGTACAGCTGCATGGTAATAATTAACCTTGAGGATTAAGGCTCTTCAATTTGAACGTTGCCAAGTGGTACAAGACTTTCCACGTAATTGGAAACAGTGAAACCATAGCCAGGTTTGCGTCGAGGGAATTCAATAATCTTAAGTTCACCAGTAGTGACATTGATCAGATATAGGGGTTCAACATTTCCCATTTCACGTTCCATAAATGCAGCCATTCTAAAATTGCTCCACACAATCTGATTCCTCCAAATGGTTCCAGTACATACCTCGACATAAGGCTGGCACAATAGACAACATGGGACATAAGAGTTGCAAGTATATTTCTTACTTGAACTCCATCTCTCCCCAGATGAGCCCATGCCCCCCTCCTCCATCACAGTCAACGAAAGACAAGAATCTCGAGAATTACTGGCTCTAGAATGAGAAAATATAGCCAGCTTGTTCTCATACACGGTAAACAAACATGATTCCCTAACAAAAGCAGGCCATGGCATCACTGTGAACACTTCGGTTGCTAAATCAAATGAAACTATCACATAACCAAGATCTGCCTTTGACCCATACCAAAACATAACTCCATTAGCAGTGACACCAGAACGTTCGATGTAAACATCTTTTATGTTGTCAAATTGTATGTTTCTCCAAGACCCAATGCCTAATGAATACGCTTCCACTCCACAAACAGCGTCAACCTGGGTCAATCTTACTATCTTATAATCATTAATAATAGGACTGAACCCGAACCCCAAAAACCAGTCCAAATCCGAAAAATCATCCAAAGTCATTATGGGCACTTGTCTCACCTTTCTAGCCGCCGGATTCCACAATAAAGGGGCAGGAGGATGTTTTTTCAAATCAGCGAAGCATAGCAAGCCATTGCAGGAACCGACGAGGAAAAAGCCCACCAAGGAACCGGCCAAAGGTGCGCTCTCAAACTCATGAAATTGCATCTTGCAATCGAGCAAATATAAGTAGAAAGGATAACTGGGATTAGACTGTCCCATGACAAGACAAGGGTTTTGAAGAGTGGAGTGGCAGAGATGTTCTTGGATGAATAATGGGGTCTTGAAGAGAATTTTCCAACGTTTGCAGACGCACTGAAACCGCATTAGGGATTTCACCGGAAGCCGCTTCAGAATGTTGGTTATGATTTCTTCGGGAAGGGATGGTGTGGCGCCATTCATCACCGTCTGCTTCACGGTTGTCGACTCAGAAGAAGAAAAGCCCCCGCCCCCAAATGAGAGCATTTTAGTGTCTCAGTGGAGACTCGGGCAAGCAGATTGTGGAGTCCCGGGTCTTCATTTCCGTTTGCGGAGTGAGTTTTTTTTTTTTTTTTTAAACGATAAATCAGTTTTGGTTGCTCAAAGTCGCACACAAGAGAATTAAATATAAAAAAATTCTTTAAAATCATCAAATAATTTTAAAGTCTCAAGTGATCTTATTACAAGAGAAATTATTTGTTTAATTATAAATTGTCATTATTTTTTAAAAAAATTTATATTGATAACTGAAAAAGTAGTCGTTGATAACTTAAGTGTAAGGACTGATAATTATCACAACAGGTATTAACAACTTACACATTACATTTTGTGATGTGCTGAGAAAATGTCTTGTCAATCTTTGTTGTGATAGTCGTCAGTCTTCACAACTTAAATTGTCAACGACTACTTTTTCAGTTATCAATGTAAACTCTCAAAAAAAAGAAGACAAATTAGTAATTAAACAAATAAAATTTATTACAATGAGTTTCTTTAAAACTTTAAAATAATTTGATGATTTCCAAAGATCTTCTTGTATTTAATTTTCTTGAATAAGACCTTATTGTAATTTTTCCTTTCTTTTCTCTTTGGGCCCATAATTACATACTACCTCCGGTTTTTAATATAAGACCTTATTTAATTTTTATTTTGATTCCAAATATAAAACTTCAATCCGTTTTATCTCTCATATTTATATATTTTTTTTCAAGATAATCCTTCTAACAATAATAATTCTAGCCAATATACTTAATTAACAATGATATTTTACGAAAGACAACACTTATTTATTCAAATAAATAATTTAATTTCCTTTCTTAATCTCCTCAAATTAGTCAATTAGCAAGACCGAAGGTAGTATTAAGTAAAATCAATTTATTGATATGATGTTCTTTAGTCTTTTTTTTTTTTTCCCGGAAAAAGGATTTAGCTTTTTAGTAGATTTTTTTTATCACTAATCTTATAAACATCTTGTGAAATATTAAGGAGTCTAATGAAATTAAAAAGAAAACACATAAGATAATGGAGATATCATCACGTCAACAAAAAAAATATTATATTTAGGACTGGAAAAGTACTACTTCCAAAACCCTTTATTGATAAGTAGATGAGAAAAAAAATTCATTAAAATTGTTAATCTACTTTCCCCATCTTATTTTAATTATATAAAAAGATGGGAATGCATTTCTTTTATTTTTCTTGTTAACTCTTAAAAATATTTTCTTGTGGTATTCAACATCCTACAATTAGTGGAAAGAATTGGCAATTCTTTTGAGTGAAGACTAGGTTGCAGCTATTGTTGAAACTTTTATCCAGCAGCATATCAGCTAGGACCTTAGCATCTGATTCAACAATTACCTGTTTAAAACCGAAGTCCCTCTGTAGATGGCCCATTCCTCTGCTTCTGGTACTATACAGTTGCCAAGAGATTGGGCGAAGCCAACAATCCAATTATCTTAGCAGGGGCATGGTTGTTACTGTGGAGTTTAGGAGCTTCTTTGAGATCAGCAAAAGATTTCCAGCAGCAGCCGGATTCTTAGGCTTTTTGAAAATCATCATTGCACCAAAACTTATTCCTCCATAACCATGAAATCCAAATGATATCCCAGGAAACCTTCAGATTCATTCCCATATTTCCACTTAGATTC